TGCAGTGTTGGAAGGCTGCTTGTCTCACGGGAGAGAGCACGTGTGGATGCTGTGGTTGAGGCGGGAGCGTGCACTGTACTACTAGCCTGTGAGGGAGGGCTGGTTGTTACCCCCGAGGAGGTGGTAGAAGCTGAGGCTATGCTGCCATCGCTCTCTACTGTGGTGGGCGTTGTTCTGAAGCTATGCGTTACCGCGGGGAGAGCACTTGGGGAAAAGACGCCTGTGGTAGCCCCACTAACCCCGGAAGTGGTCTGTGTGTAGGCGCTGTGTGGGGGTGCATGGGTGTGTGCAGTGCGTGTCGGTCTGGGCGTGGTTGGGGAGACTTGAGCTTCTGCCGAGGCAGAACTGGCGGATGCTGTGCTGGAACTCACATGGCCTACTGTGCTGGTTGCGCCTGCGGAGGAGCTTTGCAGTGTTGGAAGGCTGCTTGTCTCACGGGAGAGAGCACGTGTGGATGCTGTGGTTGAGGCGGGAGCGTGCACTGTACTACTAGCCTGTGAGGGAGGGCTGGTTGTTACCCCCGAGGAGGTGGTAGAAGCTGAGGCTACGCTGGCATCGCTCTCTACTGTGGTGGGCGTTGTTCTGAAGCTATGCGTTACCGCGGGGAGAGCACTTGGGGAAAAGACGCCTGTGGTACCCTCAGTCACCCCGGAAGTGGTCTGTGTGGAGGTGCTGTGTGGGGGTGCATGGGTGTGTGCAGTGTGTGTCGGGCTGGGTGTGGTTGGGGAGAGTTCTGCTTCCGCCGAGGCAGTACTGGCAGATGCTGTGCTGGAACTCACATGGCCTAATGTGCCGGTTGCGCCTGCAGGGGAGCTGTGTCGACTTGGAAGGCTGCTTGTCTCACGGGAGAGAGCACGTGTGGATGCTGTGGTTGAGGCGGGAGCGGGCACGGGGCTACTAGCCTGTGAGGGAGGGCTGGTTGTTACCCCCGAGGAGGTGGTAGAAGCTGAGGCTACGCTGGCATCGCTCTCTACTGTGGTGGGCGTTGTTCTGAAGCTATGCGTTACCGCGGGGAGAGCACTTGGGGAAAAGACGCCTGTGGTACCCTCAGTCACCCCGGAAGTGGTCTGTGTGGAGGTGCTGTGTGGGGGTGCATGGGTGTGTGCAGTGTGTGTCGGGCTGGGTGTGGTTGGGGAGAGTTCTGCTTCCGCCGAGGCAGTAATGGCAGATGCTGTGCTGGAACTCACATAGCCTAATGTGCCGGTTGCGCCTGCAGTGGAGCTGTGTAGTGTTGGAAGGCTGCTTGTCTCACGGGAGAGAGCACTTGTTGATGCTGTGGTTGAGGTGGAAGCGTGCACGGTACTACTAGCCTGTGCGGTAGTGCTGGGAGTTACCCCCGAAGAGGTGGTAGAACGTGAGGTTACGCTCCCGTCGCTCAGTTCCGTGGTGCACTTTGTTTTCAAGCTCTGCATTCCCCCGGGGAGAGCACTAGGGGAAAAGACGCCTGTGGTAGCCTCACTCACCCCGGAAGTGGTCTGTGTGGAGGTGCTGTGTGGGGGTGGATGGGTGTGTGCAGTGCGTGTCGGGCTGGGCGTGGTTGGGGAGACTTGAGCTTCTGCCAAGGCAGAACTGGCGGATGCTGTGCTGGAGCTCTCATGGCCTGCTGTGCTGGTTGCGCCTGCGGCAGAGCTGTGTAGTGTTGGAAGGCTGCTTGTCTCACGGGAGAGAGCACGTGTGGATGCTGTGGTTGAGGCGGGAGCATGCACGGTACTACTAGCCTGTGAGGTAGTGCTGGGAGTTACCCCCGAAGAGGTGGTAGAACGTGAGGTTACGCTCCCGTCGCTCAGTTCCGTGGTGCGCGTTGTTTTCAAGCTCTGCATACCCCCGGGGAGAGCACTAGTGGACAAGACGCCTGTGGTAGCCTCACTCACCCCGGAAGTGGTCTGTGTGTAGGCGCTGTGTGGGGGTGCATGGGTGTGTGCAGTGCGTGTCGGTCTGGGCGTGGTTGGGGAGACATGAGCTTCTGCCGAGGCAGAACTGGCGGATGCTGTGCTGGAACTCACATGGCCTACTGTGCTGGTTGCGCCTGCGGAGGAGCTTTGCAGTGTTGGAAGGCTGCTTGTCTCACGGGAGAGAGCACGTGTGGATGCTGTGGTTGAGGCGGGAGC